CAGTCAACAATAAACATGTACAGCTTGTAGGCTTTTGCAGATACAGTTACGTTCAGATAGATGCAGTGTATAGGCAAAAGTCAGTAACAACAAAATAGTATTTCTCATGCCTTAACATGTTAGAAGCTGATTGTTTACTGCCGCAAAATGCTGCATTTGGCTGTATACCCCCAAACACCAGAGGAGCTATGACATTTGTGTAGCAATAATAATAATTTATACACCGCCCATCTGGCTGGGCCTCCCCAGCCACTCTGGGTGGCTCCCAACAGAATATTAAAAGCACGATAAAACATCAAACGTTAAAAACTTCCTTAAACTTGGCTCCTTCAGCTGTCTTCTAAAATTCAGATAGTTGTTTATTTCCTTGACATCTTATGGGAGGCCGTTCCACAGGGCGGGTGCTACTACCAAGAAGGCCCTCTGCCTGGTTCCCTGTATCCTCTTTTTGCAGTGAGGGAACCGGCAGGAGGCCCTCGGAGCTGGACCTCAGTGTCCAGGCTGAACGATGGGGGTGGAGACGCTCCTTCAGGTATACTGGGCTGAGGCCAATTTGGGCTTTAAAGGTCAGCACCAACACTTGGAATTGTGCTTGGAAACGTAGTGGGAGCCAATGTACGTCTTTCAGGACAGGTGTTATGTGGTCTCAGTGGCCAGTCCCAACTATATTTTGGTATTCCGTTACCTAGTTTTATTTTGATCTCCGGTCAGGACCTCCTTCATGAATTTCCACATCATGTGTGCTATTCTAAGCCGGGAAACCAAGGTCCCTCGTGGAGGTTTGTTTCCCTGTGTGCATGCACCATTTTAGAGGCACACTTGGAAAGGACTCAGTTGGATCCAAAATAGCCAATCCAAACTCAAGATTCTGTCAGGTATTCTGTCATTTGAAAATATTTAAAGCACTCATCTTTTTACAGCCTCTGGACCTCTCTTCTCAGCTGATTTCACAAAATATGTGCATCTTTAATTTTTTTCCTAATTCTGATTTCAACCAGGATCTTTGAAACAATTGCAGTTCCTTGCCTCTTAATGCCGCCTGCCTTTTAGAATTTATAACCATGGCAACCCCTTTGTAAGCCGCCTTGGCTCTCGGTCTGGGAGAAAGGCGGGATATAAATAAGTAGAATACTAAAGGTGAGGATAAGTGCTCTTGAAGCTCGGATCTTGCTTGGAGCACCTGCGGAGGAGGGATTCTGTCCTGGGGCTGCCGCTGGCCTGATCCTGCAGCCGGGTTTCCCCCTCCTGCTTCAGAGCCGGAGACCCAGCCGGCGCTCCTCCTCCCTCTCTGCCCGGAGCAGCCAAGAGGCTCCTACCCGCGGCACGGCAAGGGTTAACTGGGGCGATAGAGCTTCGATTCCTAGAGCGGAAGAGAAGACTGGGAGAGAGGAGGCCTTCCGCTTCCTGTTCCGCTTCCCCGGGTTGATGCTGTCCTTCCTTGAGGCGGGATAACTTGGGGGGAGTCGGCCGAGTCAGGGGCGGGATTGGGGGGCGAGAGGGAGGGAGCCGCGTCCCTCCTGGGGGGAACTCAGGGGCGACGGGGAAAGGTCGTCTTCTCCTGGGAGGGGAAGCGGGAGGCCGAAGCGACGCTCGCTCGCTGGCCTTGACCGGCCTCTGGCCTCATCCTGCGGCCTTTTCTCCGCTCTCTCTGTCCAGAGAAAGCAGAAGGAGCGCCCAGCAAAGGCCGCAGGGCCAGGGAATGGGAGGAATGGCGGGCAGTCAGGAGAGTCTCCTGCCAGCCAGGGAGGAGCAGGAGGAATAATTATTATTTTATTCGCTTCATACCCCGCCCATTTAGCGGGTTTCCCAGCCACTCTGGGCAGCTCCCAACAGAAAATTAAAAGCACACTATAAAGATGAAACATTTAAAAGCTTTCCTGAACGTGGCCTGCCGCTCAGATGTCTTCTGAAAAGTCAGATAGTTGTTTATTTCCCTTGACATCCTGATGGGAGGGCTTTCCACATGGGGGGCAGGGGCACTACCAAGAAGGCCCTCTGCCTGGTTCCCTGTAACCTCACTTCTCGCAGGGAGGGAACTGCCAGAAGGCCCTTGGAGCTGGGCCTCAGTGTCAGGACTGAGCGATGGGGTGGAGATGCTCCTTCAGGTATACTGGGCTGAGGCCATTTAGGGGCTTTAAAGGTCAGCACCAACACTTTGAATTTTGCTCGGAAACATACTGGGAGCTAATGTAGGTCTTTCAGGTCTTAGTTGGCTGCTGCTCCCAGTTGACGAGTCTAGCTGCTGCATTCTGGATTTGATCTAGTTTCCGGGTCACCTTCAAAGGTAGCGCCCCATAGAGTGCAGAAGGAGCTGCAGACTCTATGGCAGGAGAGGATCCTCCTCACTTAAGACTCTTTAGCATTTTATTGTATCGAAGGCCATAGGTCCACTGCAAATTAAAACCATGAGAAAAAACTTTTCCTCTGCAAAGTGTATTGTACTAAACATATATCATTAAAAAAGGTGGGCCCCTGGGGATATAACTAGCCATTTGCAGCTGTAGTAATTTTATCTTATGTTCAAGATTTCTAAACACCTGATCCAAAAGGTCTCTCAAGTGGCACAGTGATCCAGTGGGAGCTAGAACACAACTAAAACCACAAAACCAATTTAGAAACCAGTATGCGATAAAGCCATCATTGAAAAAATTATCCCTCTCCACTTCCCATTTTGCCTCTTGGGCAGCATGTATGGTCTTTACACACCTGAGGAAGGAGGGAGTATGGGGTGGGACAAAACACTCATTTCCCCCAGTCTTAAATTTAGTTATCCAGATTTTCACATCTTATTAAAAAAACAAATAAACACCGAAGGTAAAATCTCCAGTTGCCCCATCTATCATCGGAGGGGGAGCTGAGGGGAGATGGTTTCCACACCTTGCCTTGGAGTGTCTATAAGGAAGGGAATTGTTCTGTCCTTCCAGGGATCAGTGAGCTTTGACAGGTGTCCTTGCATTTCACTAACGACAACTGGGCCCTACGGAGAGCTCTGTACAAGGACGTCATGGTGGAGGTTCATGAGATGGTGGCCTCTCAGGGTAAGGATCCTTTTCGCCTTCATTAATAGTTATAATAGGTATGGGTTCCTCAGTGACTCGGAGTGCCTCCCTTCAGCTCCGCTAAAGGAGGTCACCGTGTTCGTTTTTCTCCGAAGTTAAAGGCCAGAAGCCTGGCTGAGAGTAAACATTCTTGCTTCTCTGCTACAATTAGCCAGTGATGGCTTCTGGGTTGCCTCTCTGTGGAAGGGCATTCTTTAGGTGGGGAGCCAGCACTGAAAGACGCATTCCGTATTGCCTCTCTTTGCCCCTCAGCTGGAGAGGGCACTGTGAGAAGGACCTCAGACGAAGAGTGCAGGCTCTAGGTGGATTCATGAGAAGCAGCCATTGAGCTACATAAGTCAAAATCGGCACCTTGACTTGAAGACAGCAACCCAGAAAGGGTTTTATGTGCTCAGAGCCTCTTGCAACCGGTCAGCACTCTGTAGTTTCTGAACGGTCTTCTAAAGCAGCCTGAAGTATAATGCATTGTGGCAATCTAGCGTGGAGAATGGTAGAAAAAGCATACTAAAAATCTTCTGTGTGGGGGATCCTAATTTGTAGAATACTTGAGTATCTTGTTATTGGTTTCTGTTGATGTTTGGGTTGCTTTGTGCATTGTATAGAAATATTCTGTTTCTTAGTATTTGATGTTTGGTTGCATTTTTATATATGCTGTAAAGCCACCCAGAGTGGCTTGGGAAACCCAGCCAGACGGTTGGAATATACAATAAAAAATAAATGCTATTATTGTTATTACTTCCTTTTGGTTTTTCAAACAAGCTCTGCAGATCTAGGCTTTTCAAGCTGCTCTGAGTTGCAGTGCTGTATTATCAATGCTCAGGGGTGGCCTCACTTCTGCCCCCACAATGGGGGCTCAAAATCCATAAGGAGCGTACCCCTGCAAGTTGGGTCGGGTGGTTCCCCCACCCCACCAGACCTCCAAGGGGTGCAGACGCCTCCCCCCCATCCATGTCAGTGTTTGTATATATAAAAAAGTTCTGACCTCCCTTTGTCGCCTCAGCCTGTTCCTCGGACTCTTGTTGGCATAAAACAGTCCACGAGAAAAGTATCCTTGCAGAGTACTTTCTGCTTTTATTCTTAAAAGTCTTTCTGCAAAAGCGGTTGACCAACTGTACACACCTCAACACTACCAGCTTTCACTAACCAACCAACCAAACCAACCACAAATTAACATTTCTCACTCCATATATACAACCCGGTGCAGGCCGCTGACTCATGCTGACCCAGCTTTTTAAGCATTAAAGAAACAGCGGCCAATTTTTAGCCGTGACAACCCACTGGCAAAGAGCCTTTTCAGATCCTGACAAAGTTCAGAGGCCGGGGAGACTAGCAGCAAAGCTGAGCACTGACGCCCCTTTGGGGGTGACACCTGAGGCAGCCGCCTCACACAGGCCCAGAGGCAGGCAGGCTCTGTTGATGTTATTGCCTGCTGGTTTAAATTGTGTTATTTATGGCTTGGTTAATCTTAGGGCTGCTCACCAGAACTTTTCTGATACAAATAACCCTTCATTAAATGGTGATATTTTATTAAAGCCAGGTATCACACCATTAATTTTTATGTAAAACGCCTTTAACACAGTGCCAGGCCTTGAGTTTCGATAATGAAACAGCTGTATTAACCTTTATTTTAAAAAAATTATTCCATCAGGAGATGTTTGGGGGGTCCTGGATGAGGAGGAGCCATCAGACGTCTGGCCAGAAAGAGCTGAGGAGCAAGAGAAGGAAAGGAAGTTGGGGGTTCAAGATGGAGCCAACAAACAAGAGGGAGAGAGAAACAGTGAAGCCAAGGGAACAGTTTCCCAAGAAGATGAAAATCAGATTAACAGGGTGGAGAAAAAACATGAATGTACTGTGTGCGGAAAGAGAGTCTGTAGTTGTGCATCCCTTGCTAGACATCAAAGCGTACACTCAGGTGAAAAACCTCATAAATGCATGGAGTGTGGAAAGAGATTCAGAAACAGTGGCCAGCTTAATGTGCATCAGATAACTCATACAGGGGAGAAACCTTATGAATGCATGGAGTGTGGAAAGAGCTTCAGATCCAGTGGCCACCTTACTTTGCATCAAAGAACTCATACAGGGGAGAAACCTTATAAATGCTGGGAATGTGGAAAGAGTTTCTTTGACAGTAGTACCCT